TGCTTGATATGAACCTTATGAAACAAATAAGAACAGAGAAATATTGCAAAATGTTGCAAGATTATCTGGGCAATGTACAAAGTTGGTCTCTGAGATGGCTACTTGAGTTTAATGCAAACAAATGCAATATAATGAGAATAAGAATACGCATTAGCAAACCTCAAGGTCATTAAACAATGAAATAAGGTGAGTACACCTCGAGAAAAATAAAATATAAGGTAGATATCATTATTTCTATCATCTGATATCATTTCTATTTCTATCATACCGACAGGATGAAATCAGTATCACATGCCCAACTGCCGAGTATTTGAATAGCTTTCAGGAACCTGGGTAAGAAAGCTTTTGGAACACCTACTTACGTGAGACCGGTTCGAGAATATGCAGCTCAGTCGTACAGGTTCCTAAAAAAAACAACACGAAACATGAGTAAATCTTGACATAAAGCACTTCCAAACTAGAAGGAGAGGACACTACTCCAGCATGAGAAGAGGGAGCTGATAACGACAGTTTCTGACTCCTGAATATACAGGACTCCAGAACCTGATTCTCGATAATATATACGAAAGAACGATAAACAAATACATAAAGAGCAAAACTAACAGGAAGAGAGAGAGAGAGAGAGAGAGAGAGAGAGAGAGAGAGAGAGAGAGAGAGAGAGAGAGAGAGAGAGAGAGAGAGAGAGAGAGAGAGAGAGAGAGAGAGAGAGAGAGAGAGAGAGAGATAGAGAGAGAGCAGCTACCTCACCTTGATCCAATAAAAATAATTCTTTGCCTGCAGAAGACACAACGCTTCCCGCAAACCGTAGATCACCCGCCAGCTGCCTTGTTTTTCCACGTCAACCACAAATTAGGCTTTAATTCGGGGATCTCGATTTTTGCGAACGAATCCGACTCACAGACAAGCTTGTTTAATCAGATTTTATGATAATTAGCGCCGGGCGTGTGATATCTCGGGTAATCTCCAGCAAACTGTGCTGAGAGGAAGATACATCGCGCAAAATACCGCACATCAGACCATATTACCTACACCACCACCAGCAGCCTACTACCACCCACACCTTAATCCTCACCACACCATCACATCCCTACCACCAGCCCCCACCACACACCACCAGCCCCCCCAACCATCCCCCCCTTCACTACCACCACCAGCACCCCCAACACACCACCACCACCACCACTCCCATGCCTGTATGATCCACCAGCGAACCGTTAATCACTCTCCGCTTCAAGTATCAACAAATCCTCAACTAGCGAGAATATACCACCATTACCAAGGCACTCGGGAGCTTCCTTCGTAAGATTTGTATTTCTTGAAGGCACTCTGGAGGCTGCCTGCTATTCGTCTTGAAGGAGGAGACACCTCGGCTCCTCCACGTCAGGCAAGACGAAGGCTGATGGTGGTGATGGTGGTGATAATGGTGTTGGTGGTAGAGGGAGGCACTTGCTGTGGTAGCGATGGTGAGGTAATGGTATTGATGATGGTTATAGGACTAATGTTTAGGCGAGTGGTGGTGGTAGTGTTGGTGATAGTGACTCTGGTAGTGGTGTTGGCAGGGTTGGTGGTGAGAGTAATAATGCTGGAAATGGTGATAGTGATGGCGGTGATGGTGTTACACGTGACAGTGAGGCTGATGGTGATAAAATTGGTGATGGAGAAATTCGCCTTGATTGTCAGCTACTGTGATATACGATCGGAACGCTGGCATTTTGGCTTCATAAAATGTATAATGCTTAAAATGCCACAAAGGACCATTAATCTTTTTGCAAATTGCATGTTTTACTTTGCCCAAAAAATCGTGAAGAAAATTAGTGGCAATTAAACTTTTTTTTTTGTATGTACACCAAGAAATGTATTACACACCAGAAGGTAAATTCTAAGTTTCGTTGTATACATTCTTAAGAATTTACTGTAGTCCAGGACTATGTTGAAAACTCGGGTCTAATTGTGGGTCAGTAATATTGTGGTAGGTTTAATAACCCTTCAGAGATTGATGACAGTCAACCATGTCTCCTACTTATAATGATAAATAAAAAAATATGCAGAACAACATTCAGTTATGGATATTTGTAAATAACATCAATAAATGTTGTAAATACATCACCAAATAAACATCATCAAATGGAAATAAGCGCATCATCACCATTTAATGCGTTTCCGTAAACATCAACAACCAATAAAAAATAAAATTATATTACAATTCCACAGCCTTCACCTATGGTTGTGCATTATTAATTTTAAAGTTAATATTCTGGTTTCCATTGTACAAAATGTACGCAATTAATCACCTTTAGAAAATATCCCACACATAAACTTCAGCAAAACTAAAGGAAAAGTTTGCAGCTGTTATATCATAATTTGTTTTAAAATATTACTAATAAGGCCTTAATTGCAAAGGGAATTAATAAGATGACTGGTGAAGCTTGTGATCTACAGCCTAGGCTGCCCGGGCGATGTTTTGACACGCCGTAGGCTTCAACATTCAGTCAAGATCTTATCTAAGATTTCATGAGAAGCTGGAAAAATCTATCTTCACACCAATATACTGTTGGGAAGAGTAAAAGAGAGTAAACAGCTGCCTTTGCATCATGTGAGGATGATGTGGATATCTTAAACCAGATTTAATAGATTCTTTCTTAGATCATGAGCACTAGAGTCGTTCAAAAGGCTTATAAATTCTTTCTGAATATAATTAACACAAGGAATATTTGTGTGAAAAGGATTTCTAATTAGCTTTCTATCCACTTCAGTCATATCTGGAAAGTCTGTTTAGTTTATTTCGCAGTGAGGAGAGGGGTCGTGCAAAAAATTTGTTGAGTAAATGTACTTTAGTAACTTACTTTTGATCACTAATTTTACAACAGTCTGTAGGCTTCTCCTTTTTCAAAGGGGAGTTAAATACTAGAGCATGGGGGGGGAGGGGGGACAATACAATGCTTCTCTTGCCTCCTACAACTAATTTATTATATATTTCTTCTTCAGTATCCATGGTGACATCTTGTCTGGACCTATAGCTTTGTGACATCCCGTTCCTTAATTTTTCTGCCATCACAACGAACCATTTCAGTGAGTCTTTCCTATTAGGAGTGTCTCTTTCACCATTCCTTCCCATCCCCCAGTTCCATCCCTAATCCTTATCCTGATTCCTTACCAGGGCTATATAGTCGTAATGGCTTGGCGCTTTCCACCTGATAGTTACCTTTCGTTAGGGCTCTTAGCTCTAGTGACATATCAGGTTCCAATTTAAACATTTCCTGGAAGCTTTCGTTAAACGATTCACGTACTTCTTTATCCTTCTCTGCGTCCCATCTCTCTTCTTCAGCGGCACCTTCCTCCTAATGATCGTAAGGGTCAATATACCATGGTCCAAGGCTTTGAATGCTATGTTATTCTCAAGTTGTATCTCGGCCACTCTTCTAATTTGAGTGAATTCGTTTCTTGTATAAATTGTGATAGACTTCTCTGCTTTCTGTATCTATGTCATGCTTTTTTAGTTCTATTTTGCCTCCAGGTACTATGGTCTAATGCTTTTTGGTTGACTAATCACTTAGTGGTAGTATGAATCTTCAGCCAACTTTTTCGAGTTACATCATATTGTATAATATAGGTCAGCAAGGTTTTCTGTTTATTATCCTCTGTCCCAAGATGTTCTCTACACAAATTGCCTAACATTCTGGCAATCCCGTTTCCGGTATACTAGCCTTGCACTCTTCCCGTGCGTGCGTGTGTGTGTGGTTACATAAGTGTACTTACAGGATGAGAGCTACGCTCGTGGTGTCCTGTCTTCCCAGTACTCTTTGTCACATGACGCCTTGAAACTAGTGTGTTTGTGTGTGTGTGTGTGTGTGAGAGAGAGAGAGAGAGAGAGAGAGAGAGAGAGAGAGAGAGAGAGAGAGAGAGCAAGAGAGAGAGAGAGAGAGCATATGCTAATTTGTGTACCTTGTCTTTCTTATTCGTTCACACATTAGTGACTTATTTTGCCTTAAGCTTCTTCCTCTGGTTATTGATCTCCTCGCTGCGCTGGGTTTGCTAGTCTACTAACACTGATGACAATGATAACAAAAATAACTTGAATAATAACAATAGTAATTATAAAAATAACAATTGCAATATCAGCAACAAAACGCCAACAGCCTAACAGCTCTTCTAAAACAACACAGCAGTTACCGGTCATTACAAATGTGTTACATGAATCCCAGAGAAGTCACCTCTCAGGGGAGAGCATCATCCTCAGGAAATTAACCCAGAACAAAATGGCATACGCGTTCTTGAAAGAATGTAATTATACCAGCGAGGCCTAAAATGTATTATTACCGCACCCACACTTCCTCAGTAACATATGTTTAGCGTAAACAAACGCACCGGTGGTATCAATAATATGGGTAAGTATATTACGTCATATACCGGCTTGAGTGACATAGAGATGAATACGCCGAACTCTTAAAATATTTCAGCGAGAGACTGCAAGAGCTTCAGGGTAAATGTAAGAGATAATTGAGTGTTAGTGGCCGTCTGCCGCTCACTAGCAGCGCCTGTCATTTCCTATGAGTTCATTATTTCTTCCTTTCAGTCCTTGTCCTCGATAATTTTCCGTGAACCACGACCATAAACTGAGTCAAGAGAAAATGTGGCTTACAACAGCATTTTTAGTTCAGGCAGAAGCGCTCTGCTCTTCGTGACGCACGCGGCGCGCGACGCTCCCATTGGCTGGACCAGCCTGACCGCCCAGCCTCCTGATTGGCCCGCTGCTCCGAGCTCCAGGCAAGAAAACGCTGAACTGGCAACTCGCAACTGACCTAACCTTTTCTTATATATATATCCGAGCCACCGTTTATACACACGTGAATTAATAACGAATAACTATGATATTTACAATAAAAGTGGTGATTCCGAGGATATATTGAGGCGTAGTTCATGCTGGGGCGATAGTAAAGTAGGGAAGTACGAGGCAACTTGCCTGGCAGGAGAGGCCAACACGTATATAGGAAGCACATCTCCCTGCCAGCCTCAGTGCTTGCCTGACCGTGTTGAGTGAGAAGTGCGCCAGTCTCGCCCGTCGCGCTCCTGAGAGAACCGTTATATAAAAAAAGAAAGTATGTTACAATTTACCACTTACCATAACAGATCTGACCCATGATACATTACAACCTGACGTTAGCAGCCGCAGACTCTTACCTCCTTCCCTTACATGCTAGCAAGCAATTTCACCCGTTGAATTTTTTACACATTAGAAAGTAGGCTGATAGCAAGGAAGGAGGAATTCAACAGGATTTGCTTCGTGCTTGCAAGCAGGTGTAGGACCTTGCCGGGGGCGCCTGGTGCTATATATGGTGGGGTGAGCGCGGGGAATTACTCATTACAGTACTGGTACACCTTATATGTACACCTGTGTACACCTTATATGGCTGTACATCGTCATTCCAGCCTCAACTGTAATAATTTGTAATTCACTAACAAATAAAACTTTTAAATCTAATTAAATCTAAATGCCGTAATGATTACGTACGTATGATAATTATTACTTAAATAATACCGATTGTTATGTAAACTAATTCAATTATTAATATATAACCATATATAAATTACGTTTTTGATTTAGTAAAGACAAGCACACAATTATTATGTAAACAGATGTACACAATTAAATATCTTTAAAGAAAAAGTAACTTTAGCAAAATCAACGTAATTACCACATACGGACAAGAACAATGTAATTAAAAATTACAATGAATTTAACCACACACATTTTAACTCCCTCATTTAATCAAGTATAATGTTAGCTAATTTGTTGGTCGGTTCGTGTCACTGTCATAGGAAGCCTCCTGCAATTGACAGACCTTAAATACGAGGATTTTGATAGTTTGAGGAAAATGTAGATTTAATTTCTTGTAATATTTTGCTGTAAAACGAATACAGTTCCAACTTGAATGCTATATAATAACGTTCTATTTTTCATCATTAATAATACTCTAAGGAAAATATTTGAAAGAGCATCAAATTACACAGTATGCGCTGAAAACCCATCTATTGGTCACTTCAGAGGTCAGCCACCACCCACTCTCTGTAACAGGTGATAACAGGGGACTTTAAAAGAAGTTCCCGTTTTCTTTATAGCGGTAATTGTGGTATATCTTCTAAATCTTCAATTGTAGGTCTTTAAAGGCTTTAGTTTGGTTAGGTATCTTTTGGTTAGATATCTTTTGGTTAGGCTACGCATCAATTGTATATTTGCACTATCTCTGAGAATTTATACTCCTTAACTTGAAAAATTGCACTTATTTCATGTTTTTATATTATGCAACAAATGCAAATTATTAATTGTAATTATTTTGTTTATATCCAAGGGAAATAAACAGAGAGGTGGACCCCAATTTCTTGGGTACAGTAGTTCTAGACTGTGTCCTGGACTATAGTGTGTATATATATATATATATATATATATATATATATATATATATATATATATATGTATATATATATATATATATATATATATATGTATATATGTATATATATATATATATATATATATATATATATATATATATATATATATATATATATATATATATATATATATATATATGTATATATGTATATATATATATATATATATATATATATATATATATGTATATATGTATATATATATATATATATGTATATATATATATATATATATATATATATATATATATATATATATATATATATATATATATATATATATATATATATATAATGTGTGTGTCAATGCCGTGTTTATTTCAATACATTCTTTTATATATTTATATTTCCCTACCCATTCTTATATTCCCTATCTCCTGTCTCATTAATATGTTCTTCGTCTCCCTGTCTATTCTCATACCCCATTTCCCTGCCCATTTTCATATTTCCCATCACCTTATCCTCTCTTATAATCCCCATTTCCTCATCTTCCTCAATTCTCTCTAACTCAGATGTATCTGCTATTCCCAGCTTCCCTCTTCCCTATCTCAGCTGTAACCCCCTCCTCCTGCCTTTACTGATCTATCGACCCCCTCCCCTTCCTTATCTCTTCCGCCTATCTATCTCCACATCTCGACTCCACGAGAGGACCTAAACAGAGCCTTTTGGCTAATAACGTCGGGCCCTCTCTGCTCAAGTTCAAGTAGGATTCTTGAGAAAAAGGAGTACATCTCAAGAGGATTGAGTAGCTTAGGTTATTTCTACACTCTCCCCCCTCCATCTCCTATAATCGGCGGCCACCCATGCTAGGTCTATAATCCTCATTACTCTGCTTATAAGAATTTGTCTTATAGGAAAGTTGTTCCTTTCCGCCTGGCTTTTCCCCTTCTCCAATTCTCCCCTCCCGCTTGTTAGACAAGGACAGCGACAGTGCACAGCAATCAAGTCCTGAACATGAAAGCCTCGGTACGGTCCTGCTTGATGGGGTTCTGGGAGTTCTTTTACTCCCCAAGCCCGGCCTGAGGCCAGGCTTGACTTGTGAGAGTTTGGTCCACTAGGCTGTTGCTTGGAGCGGCCCGCAGGCCCCTGGCAACAGCGTGATTTATAATACAAATAACTACGGAATCTAAAAATGATATAGAGACGCCCGGTATTCAGAGACGAGGGTTAAGGCTGTCGGTTGGAGCTCACTTACTCATCAATGTTTCGATCTGTGAGGCATCTAGGACATGTGTCTTGGTCGACTCTGACGCCGTCTTGAGTCTTGTTGAAGCAATTTCCTTTAAGTATTGTGTACGTTGAGATCATGTCTTCTCCGTTTTCTGATATTGTGAAGTTCAGTTCCATTTGGTTGTTTTCAAAGCTAATGTCTCTCAGGTGTAGGAGAGTGTTTGTGTTCCTACCTGTGTGTTGCTATCCATAGGTGTTCTGACGTGTGATGGAGGTGATTAGGTTTCAGCTTCTCATCCCCTGCGTTATGTATCCGTTGTGTCTTGAGTGTTCCTGTACTTGGTTATATCTATAGTTGATGTGAATGTTGTCAGTCTCCTCTACCCGCCCCTTCCTCTAGCTCGCCCACCTTCTGCAGGCGAGGAGTCACAATAACGTGGCTGAAGTATGTTGACCAGACCACACACTAGAAAGTGAAGGGTCGACGACGTTTCGGTCAGTCCTGGACCATTCTCTGGTCCAGGATGGACTGAAACGTCGTCGTCTCTTCACTTTCTAGTGTGTGGTCTGGTCGCCCGCTCTAGTTGTCGCTGCAAGAGACACTTCCTGAATTTTTCTTTTGACTCGCATTGTTCAGGGGATGCTACGGGCTCGCCATAGCCCGTGTTACTTGGAACTTTTTGTTCCAGGTAGCGAATCTTTAACAACAACAACATCGCATTGTTCCAATGTCCACCTGTGTTCCCATTCACGGCAACAAGTCTCTCCTTGTTTTTATCTTCCATGTTTTAACCAGGTTTCATAGTCCTTTTCTTTTTATGTGAAGCTTCCTTTGTAAGCTATGTGAAGCTTCCTTTGTAAGCTATGTGAAGCTTCCTTTGTAAGCTATCACATCCTAGCTCATTTAATTCTGTCACCAACCTTGTTGCGAAGCTCAGAATGTTCAATATTTTTGTTATTTTGTTGGTTGCAGATGAAACACCAGTTGCATCTTGTTTATCTTGTCGTTTAGCTCGTCGCTGAACAGCATTGTTCAGTAACCTTTGTCTGAACCTGGAATGATCCAAGACGGACCGAAATTTCATCACCTCTGTCTTTGTCCCCAGCTCACATAGTCTACACGCGTCATGTTATAGATTCAGCCACTCGGAACAAGTTCCAAGTAACACGGGCTATGGTGAGCCCGTAACTTACCTGGCACAGGAGCGGGGCAAGTAGCACGGGCTATGGTGAGCCCGTAGTGGACTTACCTGGCACAGGAGCAGTGCGGGTGTACACGCGTCACCCTCAGACAAAGTTATATACAGAAATCAGGGACAGGACAGGTACTTACGGGCTATTCATGCCCGTACCACCTCTTGGGTGGCTTAATCTTAAAAAAAAAAAAGGTACAGACACCGAGACTGACCCATCACGGTGCTCTGCATATTCCTGTACATTCATTTCCCGTGGGAGATGAGATCAAAAGTTTTCAGCAAGTCTTGGACCACGCCAGCCACAGGTCGTTCCTGTCCATCCTGACGTATAATTGTCAGGGCAAATTATTCATACGAGATTTCCGGTGTCTTGATCGCATGAGAGGTGTTTGTGTTTCTTTATAGGTGTTCCAATAGTCTTTGTTCTATTATTTTCTTCATTGTCTTGGAAAATTCCGCGTTAGTGAGTGTCCGTAAGAGTGTAGCTTAATTCCTATCTTCATTGTTGACAATTGTGATACAATTTTCTGAATTCCATCTGTCTGGCAGCTCCGTCTATGGCCTGGTATTGTAGAGAGTGTTTGGATTCGCTGCCTCTGTTTTTCACATATATATAATGGGTGAATTTCCACGTCTGCCATTACTATGTTGTTTATTATAATGCTCTGAGTTTAGCTAAATGTGCGTGTGTGTGTACTCTCCTAGTTGTGCTTGCGGGGGTTGAGCTCTTGCTCTTTGGTCCCGCCTCTCAACTGTTAATGTTGACAGTATGCATGTGCGTGTGTGCCATCCCCGGAAAATAGAGAGAGAGAGAGAGAGAGAGAGAGAGAGAGAGAGAGAGAGAGAGAGAGAGAGAGAGAGAGAGAGAGAGAGAGAGAGAGAGAGAGAGAGAGAGAGAGAGAGAGAGAGAGAGAGAGAGAGAGAGAGAGAGACCCCCCCCCCCTTCCCCAGAGCAGGTTGAACAAGCAAGCGTGCCCTGATCCCAGTTAGAGGGCGCCCTCATAGCAATTACGTCGGCTGCGGGAGAAAGAGAGACGCTGCATAATGTTAATATATTCCCCTATGGAAAGTTGGCCAGGCTGCAAACTTCCCGCTACGCGATCCTCTCATCACTTGTCGATAGTGGTAATGCTGAGGATTAATGTCGACCAATGAGCCGGATGTGCGGGAGCCGGCATGTGGTCTCCGGCATGTGGCCTCCGGCATGTGGTCTCCGGCATGTGGTCTCCGGCATGTGGCCTCCGGCATGTGGTCTCTGGCATTATCCGGAAGCTTCGCACAGACAATAGCGACATGTATCATGTGCTTTGGACCCTAATGTGGTGTAATTTCTATTTCGAGGGGAATGCTTGCGCCGGTAACTATGCCTTTAAGTCAAATTGTATAATACTAAAGAATCTGAATCAGTATTGAGAGTGGTCTTTTTCAATTACAAATTGTAAAAGCATTTTGAATATTATTGAATCTGCGTTAATAAAAATGACAAAGGTCTGCAATATAATTAATAATGGTCTGTACTATTTTAACCCATTTTTAATGGATCAATTAAAAGACTTAGTAAGATGATCAATAGACAACTAACCTCATAGGGACAATACTTTAAGGCACTCACGTGTATTGGTCAATAACTCCTCTCTGCAGTTTCCTCTTGTCTTGTGTTCATGAGCCAATATTATGAACACACAGAAATCACAATAGCGTGATGCATCAAATGAACAAATCCACAAGGGCATGTCGTAGCTCAGTCGTAATTCTTTTTACCATGTCGTAGCTCAGTCGATTAAGGCTGCGTCTGGGATGCTCTCGGACGCAGGTTCGAATCCTCGTCACGGCCCTTGTGGATTTGGAATATTATGAACACATTGCTCACTTCATGTCTCCTTCCTTCTGCCGTATGCACATCCTGTACCAGTTTGCAGTGTTCATACTTCTGAAGAGAAATCTTTCTTTACGCGAAAACGCTTAAGTAGTTTTATTATTATTTTCCTTCGCGTTTTTTTTTTTACAATATTCATCACGTGTTAATTTCTTCATGATTTACACACACAAATGCAGAGTTTCTTACATCTGGTGGACTGTTCACCTAGCGGTAAATAGGTACCTGGGAGTTAGACAACTGCCACGGGCTGCATCGTGTGTGTGTGTGTGTGTGTGTGTGTGTGTGTGTGTGTGTGTGTGTGTGTGTGTGTGTGTGTACTCACCTATTCGGGCTTTTAGCTGTGTGTGTGTGTGTGTGTGTGTGTGTGTGTGTGTGTGTGTGTGTGTGTGTGTGTGTGTGTGTGTGTGTGTCGTGTGTGTGTGTGTGTGTGTGTGTGTGTGTGTGTGTGTGTGTGTGTGTGTGTGTGTGTGTGTGTGTGTGTGTGTGTGTGTGTGTCTATGTGTGTTAGAAAAAAATATATGTAGTAGATATGACAGGAAAAATATGTTTGGAGTCAATACCTTGGACGACCGACGATTGGGAAAGTCGGGATCCAAGAGCTAAAAGCCCGATCTTGCAGGCACAGCAATGTAAATACACACACACATGTATACCACTAGTGAGGACACTTGGCCTCTGAGAAAGGAATACATGGCACTTGAGGGAGCCTCGTAGGTCTCTCACGTGTCCACGTTGACTCTTAACTCTTACCCGCCACAAAAAAGGCTTCTTGTGCTATATTATAAATAAATGGATTAGTTGTAAAAAAGAAACAAGGTATGATATTGATATACTATAAATCAAGGTATGATATTGATATACCATATATCAAGGTATTATATTGATATACCATATATCAAGGTATGATATTGATATACCATATATCAAGGTATGATATTGAAGGCATGGTATGATATTGATATACCATATATCAAGGTATGATATTGAACAAGGTATGAATGAACAATGGTATGGCAATCGACTTGATAGTGGACGGACCGAAACGTCGTCGTCTCTTCAATTTCTAGTGAGTGGTTTGGTCAACATGATATTGAAGGCTGTTGAGTTCTGTTGACCAGACCACACACTAGAAATTGAAGGGACGACGACGTTTCGGTCCGTCCACTATCAAGTCGATTGAATCGACTTGAGAATGGTCCAGGACGGACCGAAACGTCGTCGTCCCTTCAATTTCTAGTGTGTGGTCTGGTCAACATACTTCAGCCACGTTATTGTGACTCATCGCCTGCACTGTTGAGTTCTTTTAAGATCCTCATGAACCAGTGATGCAGGGGACATTTCCTCACTATAAACGATGGAAAACAAAGGTGTCTATCCCCTGGTTTCTATTCAACGAACTCGTAGTTCTATCGTTTTGAAAGCTCTTGGACACTTTCCTCCCGAAGTCTCGAGTCGTATAGGGACATAATTTAAAAAAGTTTGCCCTAAATGTGTTTGAAATAGTTCATCAATGGCTTCACTTCACCAAAACCTAACCTAACCTAACCTAACCTAACCAAACCCCCATGTCGCTGTGGGTATCACCCAGAGTGGCATGCCCAATGTTGCCTCTGACTTCGTGTGTGTGTGTCATCTCCTGGAGTGCTGGCAATTGAGAGCGTGGAGCCTGTACACATCGGCTCGCGTCTAGCCGTAAATACACCACTTGTATACAGTGTGAGTTGGGGCAGCTAGTGAAGAGCCATTTCGATAGCGAGGGAATGTGAGTCGGGGCGCGTGCTCTGGGCAGACCTGGACAGCACCAAGCAGAAATTAAATAAATAAAATATGAAACACACACACACACATTATATATATATATATATATATATATATATATATATATATATATATATATATATATATATATATATATATATATATATATATATATATATATATATATGGTAGTTCTTATTAATATCTCGGTGACATCAATTCTTTAGTAATTCTTTAAGTAATTCTTTAATATATCAATTATAGATGAATCCAAAATGCATAAACCTTCACTAATATTCATGTTACGTCTTAGTAATTTGTATTAAAGCAGATTCAATAGTATTTATATTTAATATACTCTTACAATGGATGATCAAAGAAAAATCCTCGCAATTACTTTAGTGAGATTTTTTCAAATACATGAGTAAATACAGCATTAGGCATTTGGCCACTTCTTGCTGAATAAATTGATAAATTATAAAATAATTTTTTTTAAACTGTCATATGTAGCATATATGGCTCTTTACATGGTATTTTATAAATGGCCATAAACAGGCCTAATTACCCCCCTGTATGTCTATGGCCATTAAACCTCACAAGTGGATTGTGGAGTTAAAAACGTATAACACAAATCTAACCTAACTATTAGCAACAAAAAGCTAACCTAAACTAACAACAACTACCCAAATCTAACCCGGCATGATTAGATTTGGGCCCAAGCACAGCTGAAAAAAATGTTCAGGTCGTGCATTTGAGCATTAATAGTAATAATTACATTACAACAAACGGGCAAGGGGTTACAGAGGGCGGTGATAAACTGGGGAGTGCCACACCAGGTAAAGTTTTCCAATTTTTGCCAATTGTCCCTTAGCTGACAGAAAACGCGGCAACTTTGGTCTGGCCTCAATGGAAGGGCCCAATGGTCAGGTCATTGTATTGATTATGTATGTATGTGTGTGTGTGTGTGTGTGTGTGTGTGTGTGTGTGTGTGTGTGTGTGTGTGTGTGTGTGTGTGTGTGTGTGTGTGTGTGTGTGTGTGTGTGTGTGTGTGTGTGTGTGTGTGTGTGTGTGTGTGTGTGTGTGTGTGTGTGTGTGTGTGTGTGTGTGTGTGTGTGTGTGTGTGTATTAACCTAATTGTGCATGCGGGGGTTGAGCTCTGGCTCTTTGGTCCCGCCTCTCAACCGTCAATCAACTGGTGTACAGATTCCTGAGCCTATTGGACTCTATCATATCTACACTTGAAACTGTGTATGGAGTCAGCCTCCACCACATCACTTCTTAATGCATTCCATTTGTCAACCACTCTGACACTAAAAAAGTTTTTTTTAATATCTCTGTGGCTCATTTGGGCGCTCAGTTTCCACCTGTGTCCCCTTGTGCGTGTGCCCCTTGTGTGTGTGTGTGTGTACTCGTCTATTTGTGCCTGCAGGATCGAGTATTAGCTCCTGGACTCGCTTTTCTAGCCACCGGGTGTCTAATGCCATGACTCCTGACCTATTTCCCTATCAGATCTACTTTTAAAATTATAAATGGTGTTTGTTTCCACATCCTGCAATTTTGGTTCAGTCAATTTTCCCACTGTTAGTTTTATACGAAATTGACGACGGTTCAGTCTGTCCTTGACCCTTAGGACATGGGTTCAGGGTCATTAACACTTGTTACAGGGGCTTGAATACTAGTCACTTATGGAGTCCTCGTTATAGTCATAATTGCTGCTCTTCTAATTACCCTTAAATACACAGCACTGAATGGAACGGTCTCCCACGCTGGCCTCAAACGCTTTGACTACCCACACCTCAATGGCCAACCAGCTCAGAAACACACGTTCTTAATGGTGTGGTTCGTCTCTGTGGTTCCAGAGGCTAGTCACAGCGCTGTGAATTGTTAGAACGAAATGACCATTGGTCTCAATCTACAATACTGTATAAAACAGTATTGTATACAGTGCAGGCGATGAGTCACAATAACGTGGCTAAAGTATATTGACCAGACCACACACTAGAAGGTGAAGGGACGACGACGTTTCGGTCCGTCCAGGACCATTCTCAAGTCGATTGAAACTTGTCGATTGAAAATTGTCGATTGAAAGCCGAAACGTCGTCGTCCCTTCACCTTCTAGTGTGTGGTCTGGTCAATATTGTATACAGTATTGTATCTAAATACTGTATACAACAAGCTGTATACAAATACATTGAGCTTGAATGTATTTTGTTTACATACACATTTTCAGATTATAATAGTCATAAACATTACACAAAAAATCGGGTGATAAAAGCATGTAAAACTGTTAAATCGTTTACATGTTTAGCAAATGTGTAAAATATTTATATATACATTATTTGTATTTTCAGGGAGCAGGGAAGAGCCTTGAGAGTGTGTAGTGTTGAAGGTAAAGTGACACGACAACTGTCAAAGATTGATTGATTGATGAAGATTAAGCCACCCAAGAGGTGGCACGGGCATGAATAACCCGTCAGTGGTTGATTTTTTTGGGAGTGAATGTGACCTTTGGTCGTGTATTTGCCAAAGCCTACAAGTGTATTATAACTAAAGACATTGTGAAATTTGTGAGTATATTGGAGAAAGGAGGATGTCGTACGATCCTCACAGTGAACCAAGATAACACCAAGATAGCAAGCTGTGTCTAGCAAGATAGCAAAGAAACTTCTAACTTGTATTAATAATAACTTTCCGGTGACAAGCGTTGTCGTTTTGTTATTCTGTCCCGAGTTATAATGGAAACATAACAGTGACGTTTTGTTCAAGTTCAAGTTCAAGTATGTTTATTGAGATAAGCAATAAATACATCTCAAAGGGATAGAGTAGCTTAGGCTATTTCTACCCCCCAAAAAATTGTGACGTTTGGGGTGTGTTTGTGTGTGTGTCACTTCCGCCAGCCGGCTTGAGGACCACCTGAGTGGGGAACAGCTGACATATGAAGTTTATCTGCTATCGTTCGTGGGCGTCTGGAGTGTGTGTGGTAGTGGGGGTCCTAAAGTGTGTGTAGAGATCCTCAAGTGTTGCCTAAAGTGACATTGTGGCGCCCACTTCCATGGCCTCGGCCGTGACTCCAGTCTGGACCCAACCAGCCGCCCACACCACGCCCACTGCCCCATCTTTAGACTACCAGGCCGCCCACACTGGTCGCCCACCCGGGGTGGTGAGTGGGTGGGGGGGTGTGGATGGGTGGACGGGCCTGGCCAACTCCTCCCTGGTGGTGGTGGAGAACAACTTCACCGTGTTGGAGAGTGTTCCGACACTAGCTAACAAGACACTCTGGCCAGCGGGGCCTGTCATCCATCTGGGCGTAGAGGTGGAGCTCTTCCCCGAGTGGGTGGTGGGCGTGTGGACGGGCGTGCTCGTCACTCTAATGGCAGTGGGTGTGGGCGGCAACGTCTTGGTGCCTGTCGTGGTGATGCGGACCCGGGACCTGCGCTCGTCTACCAATCTCCTGCTGGTGAACCTGGCAGCAGCAGACCTGCTGGTGCTGCTGGTGTCCCTGCCGACGGCCCTCATCGAACTCCACTCCCGCCCGGAGACCTGGGTGCTGGGGGAGCCCATGTGTGAGTACCGTCTCTCTTGTTGCTCCTTCTTGCATGCACCATCTTGCTCAACACATCTCACAGCAACATTCATCATCGACCTGCTACGTCAGGGCTCAATTTGTGTTAATTTTTCACCATTTTCACCATTCATAAATTGTATTTGTCGTCAAATTTCTCACTGCTACACCCACAGTACTCACTAACTCATGTGTCTGGGGACGTTAATCATGTATTCTTTACCATACAAAATAAAGAGCCAAGGATGTGTCTCACTTGTTATGACTATGAAGAGGTTAATATTAATATCGGTACAGTTAATTACAGATTTGAGATCGTAAGCACAAGACTTGCTACAGTAGCCGCTGTAACAACTAGCCGCAAGTTACAGCGGCTACAGTTGTTCATGCCAAGACAAGATAGTGAATTATATTGAAGGTAGATGAACAAATCCACAAGGGCCGTGATGAGGGTTCGAATCTACATCCGAGAGGATCCCAGACGCTGCCTTAATCATTTGATGCATCACGCTATGGTGATTTGTCGGTGTATTGAAGATAGATAATATGATCTATACGGCATGCGCGGTACAGAGGTTAGCATCTAGTGATCTATACGGCATGCGCGGTACAGAGGTTAGCATCTAGTGATCTATACGGCATGCGCGGTACAGAGGTTAGCATCTAGTGATCTATACGGCATGCGCGGTACAGAGATTAGCATCTAGTGATCTATACGGCATGCGCGGTACAGAGGTTAGCATCTAGTGATCTATACGGCATGCGCGGTACAGAGGTTAGCATCTAGTGATCTATACGGCATGCGCGGTACAGAGGTTAGCATCTAGTGATCTATACGGCATGCGCGGTACAGAGGTTAGCATCTAGTGATCTATACGGCATGCGCGGTACAGAGGTTAGCATCTAGTGATCTATACGGCATGCGCGGTACAGAGGTTAGCATCTAGTGATCTATACGGCATGCGCGGTACAGAGGTTAGCATCTAGTGATCTATACGGCATGCGCGGTACAGAGGTTAGCATCTAGTGTTGAGACAATTTATCAGATGTTACAAATGTTAGGAAGCCTACCTTACCTTGAGGCTACCTTGAGGTGCTTCCGGGGCTTAGTGTCCCCGCGGCCCGGTCGTCAACCAGGCCTCCTGGTTGCTGGACTGATCAACCAGGCTGTTAGACGCGGCTGCTCGCAGCCTGACGTATGAGTCACAGCCTGGTTGATCAGGTATCCTTTGGAGGTGCTTATCCAGTTCTCTCCTCCAAAGGATACCTGATCAACCAGGATGGTTCCGGCCCATGGAGGCACAAGTGCCAATATCTGGCACCTAACGAGGATCAGAAGGGAAGGGAAATATCAGGGGAAAGCATCAAGACATTGCGACTATATATCAAGGAATCAGGATAAGGATTTGGGATGGGACGGGGGGAAGGAATGGTGCCTTAGTGGACTTACCTGGCACAGGAGCGGGGCTGAGTGTCATCAGCGGAGAATCCGCACGTTATATAGCTGAGAGAAAAATGGATTAATTCAAGGGAAAACCAAACTACTGTCGAAGTGGTTGGGCACCATTCCTTTCCTTCAGCCCCATCCCAAATCCTTATCCTGATCCCTTCCCAGTGCTTTATAGTCGTAATGGCTTTCCACTGATAGTTCCCTTCCCCCCTTCAATGGAAAAAAACCCCACCTTCAGCAAAACATTTTCCATGGTGGAAGATTCCCCTCTTGGAGAGCTTTAGTAGCATCACAACCCAGCAGTTGGCTCTGATCCACCCAACTGTTGCTACACTGCTGGCATTTTACCAAGTCTTTAGTTCTTACTATGTGTTGTATAAGTCTTGAATACGTTTCCATAGAGCAAAAGGTCTTGAAATACGCTATATATATATATGCCAGTTGCTTAATTTAGAACCTGTACTTGAGGTCGATCTCGAACCCATTGTTGATGTGACGACTTATAATGAATTTTGTAACTAGCTCATCAAGATTGTAACTTGCTTAGCTAAATGAATTGTGGGGTTCAGTCCCTGAGCCCATTATGTGCCTCTGTAACCCTTTCCACTACCGCCCACAAGATGGGTATGGGGTGCATAATAAATGAACTAAACTAACTCCCGTGTGTCATACAATACTAAGTGGTACGTATGGCCGTATTTCCCAACACAAACACGTGTGTGCAAGTCACACCGGTTTGACAACAATGCCCAGTGTATGTGTGTGTGGTGTGCATCATGTATATATTCCCACTGAAGAAAGCTTTCCTCACGGGAGACATCTCCCGTCACGCAGGGTGCAGTCGCACCTCCACAGATCTCCAGTATCAGCTCTTGATACTGGTAATGGCTCAAAAGGGCCACCACTTACGGGCTATTCATGCCCGTGCCACCTTTTGGGTGGCTTAATCTTCATCAATCAATCAATCAAAGCTTTCCTCCAGTGGCGGCTGGCCAGGAGGAGACTCTACCCTCCACACCGTGTCCTTATTCCCAGCATACGGAGGCCTCCGAGTGGTAAACTTACACACACACCCACACACACACACACACACACATCCTGGGTGCGTGTGTGTGTGTGTGTGGGAGGAAACCCACATGGAAAAATAAAAGAATGCTAAACGCGTTTTCAACCATCGGGCCATCACCTAAAACTCTCAGCTTGCGCCAATGGGACATTGTGCCTGTTTAAAAGACGAATTATGACACAGTTGTGTGTAGCATCAAGATAAGGGGAATTTAGTATGAAGTGCATAGCTAAATATTTCCAGTTTGTCCAAGATAAAGGACAAATAGGAGCAGGTCAGACTGGTGGCAGAAGCATCAAGGTGCCTCCAGGTACACCAGGATATTCACGGGGGACCAAGATATACACGGGCTATACACACACGCTTCATATATACCAGAATATACGTAAAGGTCACTATCCCCCTAGGTCAAAGATTTCCCCTTCCCCCTCCCAAGTGTTACTGGGGATTTTGACTTATATGGATTTCAAACTGAAGTAATGTCTTGGCATTTATGGCTTCGGCGGGTAGGCTGTTCCATGAGTTTTTATAACCTATGAGGTGAAAAAGCATTTGGTGTATGTCACATATGGGGAGCTGGTCGGCCGAGCGGACAGCACGCTGTACTTGTGATCCTGTGGTCCCGGGTTCGATCCCGGGCGCCGGCGAGAAACAATGGGCAGAGTTTCTTTCACCCTATGTTCCTGTTACCTAGCAGTAAAATAGGTACCTGGGTGTTAGTCAGCTGTCACGGGCTGCTTCCTGGGGGTGGAGGCCTGGTCGAGGACCGGGCCGCGGGGACACTAAAGCCCGAAATCATCTCAAGATAACCACTTCATCGTGCGGTCTACCTGGCCATTTACAATCTAACGAGCCGTCTACCTCAACTTAATCTAACATAAATCACAAGATAAGCTAAGGTCTCGGTGGACAGGTCAGGTCATTATACAGACTACACTACGAGTACTGTGGTTAACCAGGAGTGCCTGGCCAAGATAAGATAGAGGCCAGGAGTGCCTGGCCTACCGTCTACCAGGAGTGCCAGGGTCACTCTACCGTCTACCAGGAGTGCCTGGCCGTGCCAGGGTCACTCTACCGTCTACCAGGAGTGCCAGGGTCACTCTACCGTCTACCAGGAGTGCCTGGCCGTGCCAGGGTCACTCTACCGTCTACCAGGAGTGCCAGGGTCACTCTACCGTCTACCAGGAGTGCCTGGCCCTCCTGGGTAGCTTCAGTTTCCTGCGAGGAGCGGACAATAAATATTAGGCTCTTAAGTCACTCCCAAGACGGTCATTATAATGTAAGATGATCACCACGTGCTGACCTGAGATGTTTACACACACACACGCACACGCACGCACACACACACACACACACACACACACACACACACACACACACACACACACACACACACACACACACACACACACACACACACACACACACACCTTACGACTCTGGAAGACAGAAGAGTAAGGGGAGACATGATCACAACCTACAAAATCCTCAGAGGAATCGACCGGGTAAACAAGGATAAACTATTCAACACTGGTGGGACGCGAACAAGTGGACACAGGTGGAAATTTGAGTACCCAAATGAGCCACAGAGACGTTAGAAAGAACTTTTTCAGTGTCAGAGTAGTTAACAGATGGAATGCATTAGGCAGTGATGTGGTGGAGGCTGACTCCATACACAGTTTCAAATGTAGATATGATATAGCCCAGTAGGCTCAGGACCCTGCACACCAGTTGATTGACAGTTGAGAGGCGGGACTAAAGAGCCAAAGCTCAACCCCCGCAAACACAAATAGGTGAGTAGACACTCACATTGAAAGCATTAAGAATATGAGTGAACCCAACACAAGTTAACGCACGTGGTTCAGGATATATGCGCCAGCCCTTCGTGTTGGTGCTGAGTGAATGAATATCTTTATTGCACTAGATTAAATATGCCTCAGGTGTTGGGGGAAAGACTTACACGCTGTTAATATGTCTCGTACATAATGTGCTCTTTCCTGTAGCTAGCTTGGCAGAGATCTCAGAGAGAGAGAGAGAGAGAGAGAGAGAGAGAGAGAGAGAGAGAGAGAGAGAGAGAGAGAGAGAGAGAGAGAGAGAGAGAGAGAGAGAGAGAGAGAGAGAGAGAGAGAGAGAGAGAGAGAGAGAGAGAGAGAGAGAGAGAGAGAGAGAAAAGAGAGCTGGACTAGCTAGCTTTGATGTCACAGATGGCGTAAATTACCGCATCCTGGGAAGCGATTAACATACAGGGAGCGGTTGAAATTTTAAATTTTTTAAATGCGGTTGAGTGATGGCTTGATGCTGTCTATCCTCGTCAACTGGTGTGAGAACACCTGTCTACTTCGGGAGCTCTTAGGGCCGCGTCCTGCTCCTCCTGACTCCCTTATCAGTGTGAAAGTGAGAACATTATTAATGGGAATCATTCAGTATTAGCAGGTGGGCTTCGTGGCGAAGGAGGCCGCGTAGATCAGATATTTACCTTGAGGCAACTTATAGAGAAAACGGGAGAGACAGGGTGCACATGGTAGAGTGATGGGCATGGTGGCGGAGGGCTTCGAAATGCTGTGAAATGTTTCTATATATCCTAGTGTGCGTGTGTGTGTGTGTGTGTGTGTACTCACCTAGTTGTGCTTGCGGGGGTTGAGCTCTGGCTCTTTGGTCCCGCCTCTCAACTGTCGCGGGACCACACACACACACACACACACTGTGTGTGTGTGTGTG